AAGACCAATCTGGAGAGGTTAGTCGATGGTATGCACTGGGTATGGCCAGACCAGTGTAATCGGCCATGCTAGATGTATGATACTAGACTGGGAAGTTTTAAAAACCTGCCGTGTAGCTCTACATGGCAAATTCGATCCTGCATGGAGCCTTTTAGGAGGCATCGAAGATATCAACGGTCAAAGACATCGACCGATAGAATGTCTGTCTCTTTCACTAACACTTTTTCGCAGGCATATACCAGTCTGCTCCGATTGATGCTCTGTATATTAACAGTTTAGTACGTGAGCTGATGTCTGCACGAGACCAGCGTGGTCTGCCTCGCAACCTAAATGCATTTCGAGCCTACGCAATTCCGTTCCTGATTTCTTATTTTGCCTGCCGTCGGCTACTATATTAGAGCCCAAGTAGCAGTTGTGCCGTGCTAAGATGCATAGTCAGGAACTTCGTCTTTTGTATATTAATCGTCAGACCAATAGTTGCAACGAAGCTGATAATTCGGTCTAGCGTTGGCTGTATTGACTGAGGGGTATTACCAAGTACGACGATGTCATCGTCATACTCTAGATCAGGAAATCTGAATTCAGGGCTCATTTCACATCCACTGTCGGATAGAATTGATTGATGCATCAGCCAGTCGATCAAGAAGTTGAAGATAACTCGGGAGAGAGGGCATTCTTGCCGAAATGCAGACTTCAGTGGGAAAGAATCTCGCTCTTAAATAGGGACTTTTACTCGGACTGATGTTGTGCTGTGGTATTCTTCGATTAGATTGAGTAACTTTATTGGGCGACCGTTAGCAAGCAAGATTTGACACAAGGCTTCTCTGTTGATGAAATCAAAGGCGGTCTTAAAGTCAATGGAACAGGCCGTGGTTATCTGTTGATTCGGGTCTCGATGGTCCAGTACGCGGAGTAGAAGGAAGATCCGGTCAACACATCCTCTACCGGAACGAAAGCCTCCTTAGTTAGGACGAATGCGTAAATTGCGCTTAATCAAAAATCTACCTTGAAGGATGGTCGCAAACATTTTTTACCGACCAGGTTAAGGGATATACTTGTGCGTCGCGGGGCTCCTGCAGACAGTTGCTAAGTTTAAGACAGGTGCACGGCAAAGGTCAGGAAAATTGGATTGATGATTAGTATCTTCATAGCCGTTGCAGTCAACCCTGAGCTTGGATACGCTATTAGGTTGCGGGTTACACTCGTTGTACTGTGCCTTGGAGCTCCATAGCCTCAAATCTTGGCTAAGCTAAGCGTTTCTGGCGTCTAAGCTCTCATCAGCCAGACACGCCTCAGGCCTGCTCGCTTTTGTCCGCCCTCCGCCCGTTATAATTGAATCTTTGTGGGATTTGGAAGCGCAAGATCCCATTTTTAAAATGTTCACACCGCTTCCCCTTGCTGCATTTAGGGCTTCACCCTCATGGGGTTGCCTTCTGTCAAAGTGGATCCCTCAACTGCTGAGGAGGAGCTACTGCCCGAACGTCTGCTGGACTCCTCTGCACCACCAGCGTCACACGTGCTGGTTCTACGAACCCGGCTTGTTCTCCAAAACTTTCGGTTGGTCCTCTCTCACTACACTCTGAATATGCACTTTGCTTTGTTTTCTTGCCCGTGTTTACCAAACTCCAGGTCGCATGGGCTTCCTTTGGTGATAGGTTTTCGTCTTTCTTGACTTCTCCGACTCTGTATCCAGCAGTCATGCGTACGTCAAATCCAATGCTTACAACTATCAAGGCATTACGGTACTATTAAGCAACTAGTAAAGGTTCAAAAAGTACAAACCTCAGCAATGGGTAAGCACAGTTAAGAATGAAGAGAGCCGGTCAAATCGCCTGCCTCAAGACAAGGGAACAAAGCAAATTCAACCGCCACGCAGGGCGAAACCAGACATGGGAGAGTGTGTGTCCCGGATGAATGC